AAGGTGGAGATCTCGGGGTGGTTGAGCTATATAAGTATGGAGAAAAGGCGGAACGGTCGACACATCAATGAGATGGCCATACACATCAATCACTGCCTGTGGGGGAGGTGATCATGTGCCAGACACTGTTAGACCAAGTAAAGAAAACACTAGAAATTTCACAGCCTGTAACTCACAGGGTAGTTTGTTGCTGGTCACAAAATATGTTGACAATGTCAACAAATGAAATGAAATGCGGTGTGTTACGAAGATCTCTAATAGGGTATTTAGTAATATCAAGTATAAGTAGACCGGCTCCAATGAAGCCGCTTCTTACAATTCTGATTGTTGCGTATCAGTGCGCAGTGTGATATCAGATGTCACAAGTTTGTGCGAGTTTGGGTGGTTCAGTGGAATTGAACGGCCACTACTTGGGATTTCTGATTCACATGAGTAACTTCTTAAGCCTCGATAACAGTTCGGGTTTCAGGTGCCCCATGGGGTCGCGGGTGGGGTATCCTCACTGGGGTATCGGGTTTCCCGTTCTCCGCTTTCACCTGTAGTTATTTCTTCCTTTGGGGAGCCCATAGTTTGAATTGCGCTTGCATTACAGCCATTACCCGGATGATAGGCCGAGCGGAGCCTGACTGAGTCCAAAATCGGAGGAACGGATTATCAGAGTCCTTCGTTTGTGCCCGCCCGAAAAAACTGTGTGCCCCAGAAGAGAAAATTGTGCCCCAGGAAGAAATTTTGTGCCGCGGGAAAAATTTTCCACGTGCGCGAACAAATCTGCGTCAGTTAAAGGAGGTAGTTCATGCGTACACTTCGACACGCCGAAGCACAACGAAACACAACGAATTGCTCATCCTAGTGGCTTACAATGAAACTCCTCGTAACATCATTCTGGTTCTTCTCGTGCGACCTTCTCTACGTTGAAGCAGAAGTGGACGAAAGTGGCCATTTCCGTGGGCTCGGTCCTGTGAACGGCGATCCTAACGACGAATTCTATTACATGCAGAAGGCTTATCTTGAGGCCATCTCTATACCGGAGGCTTGGGGTATCCTGGACTCTACTCCCAAGAGAACATCTGTGACCATCGCAGTTATTGACGACGGAATCGAGGCCACTCATCCTGACTTGAAGGGTACCGTTATCAAGGGTTACAACGTCGTTGATAAGAATGATGATACCAGTCCTCGAGGACCGCATGGAACCGGCATGGCGGGCATCATTGGTGCTATCAGAAATAACAAGATCGGTATAGCGGGTATTCTGGACAGTGTGCGCATACTGCCCATATCTACGGGTGAGCTTTCGACTTGGCCCGCAATGGCGGATGCTTTCAAATACCTGATCAATAAGAGGAGAGATGATGTGAAAGTCATTCTCATGACGGAGGGGAGCTTTTCAAGTAGATCCAAAGCCGTTACCGACAAGATTCGGGAAGCAACTGCAGCTGGCATGCTCGTTATCGTCACGGCAGGGAATGAGTACCTGGATCTGGACATAACCCCATACTTCCCTTGTTCCTTCGACCGTTCACCCACTGATGGAGTGTTATGTGTAACTGCAACGTATGGTACCAAAATGCAGCTTATGGACCAGAGCAATTTTGGTTTAGCTGTTGACATCGCCGCTCCAGGTTATAAAACAGTTGCAACTATTCTTGAAGGGGAGTATGGCACTCGTTCGGGCACTTCGGGTGCCGCCGCTATCGTAGCAGGTATAGCTGGGATGCTCTACAGCCTTGAGCCTTCTCTGAAGGCTAAGCTGACCCCTACTTACATCAAAAGTATCATCAAGGATACGGCCACCCAAGGTGTCAAGGACAGTAAAGGGGAAAAGACCCTTCCCTTCGGCCGCGTGAATGCTGCGGCAGCTGTCAATAAGATACTTGAAAGAAAGAAGGTTTAATTTTTCGCCCTGACTTCGTGTCATGGTGGAGTCAATGACACCGAGTCATTGCTAACTTGTTCAGTGAACTCTCGTCTAGCTCGATGGCCTCTCCCTTGCTCGATAGATCATTTATTTATTCGATTCATTTATTGTGAATGTAAAGGTATGATCATCAGACCTTCGATCGTCAGAGTCTGATGTCACATGCGATCGTAACGCTGAGGATCTGATTAAGATGATTCTTTACGCCCAACTGTTGAGTTTTGAATCCGCGTCGTGAATTTGCGCCTGGGTCGGTCTTACTTCAGTAGGCAAGAATTGGCTCGGTGTTCCAATTATGAATCGTTCTGGGAGATGCTGGTGCATCGTCAACGATCGCTGTCCCAACCCCCCGTAGCACACAATGTGTCTTTCTCGGGTGAAGGAATCCCTTAGCTGAGCTTATGGTGAATATTTTCCACATTGATTAAGTATCATCAAGCTGCGGTTTACGGCATTCCCCTGCTATTATATCCAGTGAAGTGTTATTCGAATAGGTAAATCATTAACAGTTGTGAAACTGGGAACCGGACTTGAAAATATCAAGTTGCGATATATATCAACTCTTTCCGATGAATGC